TNNTTTTTTTTTTTTTTTTTGCAGATCGTTGAATGTTACTGAATTCACTTGAGCGTTTTTTTTCCTGTACTTCTCCCTCTTTACATTCTGAATTCAGATGAACTATAAAACTCTAAAATATTGAACAAAATCACCAGACTTGACACACATTCAAGCTGTAGACCAACAAAACGAGCTACGACAAAACACAGACAAAATCCAAAAACGGGCAAAGCACGAGCAACACATACACTCTCAAAATGCAAAAAACGAGTCGGCAAGCTCATAGAACAACAAACGAAAAAAAAAATAAAAAATCAATCACCTTTTGGAGAAAGAAGAATCAGCGGTAACGGTGATCTTGTTCTTCTCGCGGGAAATGGCGACGGAGTCGCCGAGAGCACCGGCCTTACTGCCCACCTTGATCCTCTCCTGCAGGCAGGGGCGGAGCCACCCTGGGGCTAGGGTGGGCTCCAGCACCATGTCCCAAAAAAAAAAAAAATTGCTAACCTTATTTTTTAAAAAAAATTAGGAAAATTTTCACCTTTACTACTCGTTTTTTAAATATTTGCACATTTACCACTCCTATCAATTAAATTGTGTTTATACCTAAAAAATAAAAAGTAATTAAAGTCATGCCTAATATCAATTACATGATATGGAACAAACTTTTCATGTTTCTAGCCCATAATTTCAGCTCTCAATCTTGGAAGGATATCAGTTAGATATCATATTTCAAACTTTCCATGTTTCATTATCACATCTCATATATAGTCGTAGTGCTGCTATTTAACAAGTGAAAGTATATGTGCAGTATATTTTGGTATTGTTCATGGAAATAAACTGCGTAGTTTTAATATATTTGATTTATGTTCAGCAGTTGATTTTTATTGTGCAGCATAAGTATATTTTTAGTTTATGTTCAGTATATTTTTAGATTTTTATTATGCTGCATAAGTATATTTTTAGTTTATGTTCAGTATATTTTTAGTTTATGAACCACATCAAACAAAGACTTGGATCCGTATCAGGCCTGGAGTTGCTGCTCCCGCACGGCGATCTTCTCAGGCCGATGAAGGCTGACGAGGAAGGCGGTTGAATCAACAAGGACAAAAGAAAAAAAAATCAAAAATAAATAAGAAAAATTAACAAGAATTAAACTGGAGCTTCAAGGGATTCTATCATTGAGTAGAAAAAGGCAAACAAGACAGAGGAAAGAGGGGATTGAAATGGCGCAAGCTGCAAACTTAGCCCCGACCACCACGAGGGCGGAGATCTGAGCCCGCCGCCAGGCCCGGCCTTCACTCCGTCCGAAATCCCAGAGACCGCCATGGCGACATAGATTTTGGGAGAAGCGCCATCAACGATCGGCATGGATCCTCAGGCCTGATAGAATTGATGTCGCGGAAGCATCGAGAATCGAGCATCATGTATATCTAGAGAGAGGTGGGGTTTAGCGGAGAGAAAGCAAGGTTTGGAGAAGAGAGAGATATGAGGGGAGACGATAGATCGGCCTTGGCGAGAAAGCAAGATCTGGAGAGGAGAGAGATGAAGAGAGACGATGGATAGAATTTGGCGAGGGAAAACAAGATCTGGAGAGAGATATGAGGGGAGTTACCATGTAAATAGGAATGAGAAATTATCATGTAAATAGGAAATCAAATTTTTAGGCATATATGCAAATAAATATAACATATTTAGTTATTTTATAAATAATTATATAGAAGATGTAATTATGTAATATTTTCAGATTTTCCAAGTGGAGGATGTAAATTCTTCAAAAATTTATACATAAGCTCTATTAGCCTCATGTAATTTTTTATGTAGCCCCATTTCATTTCAAGCTAGATGCCTCAAGATTAATGTCAAAATTTTTTATATGACAACAATGGTAGAAAAGTGATGATGACACTAAGAGGAAAAAAGATAATCCTTTATTGTCAAATGACAATTTTGTCCTTATTAGATTTTTATCAATTGAGTTTATATGTAGTCCAACACACTCTTGCCTTTCAATTTTTTTAATGGGTTGACTTTACAAATACCAAATGAGCTGGATAATTAAGCTTGACACACATTTCTCCTGCGGGCTATTTAATTGGGTTCGTCTCATTGCACAGTCCATTATCCATTTTCATTTCTTATTTTCTTTTTTTGTTGATTTCGCATCGAATTATTAATTCAGCCTCATTTTCTAAACAAAGAAAAAATGTTACAAAGTTGAGTGCAAACATGCTCTACTCTATTTGTTTTATCGACAAGTTCAATTAGCTATTTGGGTTTGACTTGTTCAAATATATAAGTGAGTCGAGATTGAGTTTTCCCAAGTCAAACCGACATATGTTATCAGATAATTTGGTTCTAGTCATGATCACCAAAATTGGTTATGGGTCGAAATCGCCGATCCCCGGCCGAGAGTTGGAGGACCCTGAATCGGCACGAACATATGCACGGGCCGGTTCATTGAACTGTTGGTTCTTGGTCGTCCGGTTCATTAAAAAAAATAAAAAAATGATATATATTTTTTTAAAAAAGCCGAACCTCGAGTTTCGGTTCCAGTTTGGAACCGAAACTGCCGGTTCAAAATGTATAAACTATAAAGTATTGTACATGAACCAAACTGGTCAAAACCACGAGCCGGTTCAAGACCCATGGTCAACGGGCCGGTTTGTGTCGGTTCGGTCTGAATAGATGTTCGCCTATATTTTTAAAGCTCGACCGCAAGTGTAGAGCTTCGCTCGCAATATGTGGCAAGCAAGGTCGTATCCGAAAAGACCAAATAATTATTGTACCAATTACTAGATTATGATAGTGTCAACTTTATTTAGACGACCGAATATGAGATGGATTAACTAAACTAAAAAAATATAATCAAAGGAAAATAAAGCAACAATAAAGAACTAGCTAGAAAAACACGTAAGAAAATATATGAGAATGATAAATTCTAAGACTGTGGTTTCAATTAACAGTTCGGTTCCATAAAAAATATCATAACTAATGTTTTCTTTATCTCCCCTATAAGATGATCACAAATTTAGCTTGTCTTCCCTCTCGAAATCGATAAAACCGTAGATTAAATAACATATATTAGCATCTTCACTCAACACATGCAATTCAACTCCAAATAGATTAAAAGATCTAATATCCTCACAACGACCTACTAATCTCTCGATTTAAGCAAGTAAATTGTGTCAAATATTAAAGACCTAATATTGAACTCATCTCTCGAATTATGAACAATATTGTCAAACATTTAAAAGCATTGATCAAGTGCTAAACATGAAATAAGAGCAAAATATTTGAATAGGGTTCAAAAGAAAACAATCAATTATAAATAAATCATCTAAAATCCCAACATATTAATCTACTACCAAGTCCTAGAATCAAATAAACTAGCCACTCATGTTCGAATTCAAATACATAGACATATTAGAAATCAACATGATAATAAAAGTCCAAAAGAAAGAAGAAAGAAAAACTAGGAATCTTGTTGATCTTTCAATCTTCTTGATCCTTTGTAGTTGGATCTTCTTTTACTTCTCAATTGCTTCTCTTGTGTGTTCTAGAGCTCCTCTCCCTTGTGTCTCATGTTATTCCCTCTAAAAATAAGGTTAATATGCCTTTTATAATGTCTAAAACCCTTCTCCTTTTCAAAATAGGCAAGAAATAAAAACTAGCCTGCGCGCGCGACACGGCTATTCTGCCCGTGTCACCGTCCGTGTCGCAGTCCATGTCAGGTCCCTGGATCCCCACATCGTAACGGGTAAAAATAAAAATGAAGAACGAGATGGCCAAAGTCGCAACAACTATTTGCCGACGGATCCCCACATCGTAACGGGGGCCAACCACTTCCCCGTCAGAATCAATCTGCCGAACCAATAACCACCCGTCGGTGGAACTAAAGGTGGCCAACCACAATTGAGACGAACATGTCTCCACTTGGTGTGCCGGAATCTGCGAGAGATACAAAACCGACTAGCATATCACCTGATCTGAAAATTGTCAAGCCGCGTGATCACGGACCACCAAGCTGATTGTCGCCAAAACAATCATATGGCCTTCATTGATAGACTTACGTCATTATTTCACTCGCCGTTGAGCTCTCGCCCCGGCCATGCTGATGTCCCCATCCAGCACGGCGACGAACCCCTGCTCTGTCGAGCCGACCTCATTATTTCGCCCGCCGTTGAGCCCTCGCTCCGACCAGGCCGACATCTCCACCCAGCCTGCTGACGAGCCCCAGCTCTACCGGGCTGATTTATTATTCGTTCGCAGACATTCCCAGCCCCACCGGACCGATTCATCATTTGCTATTTTTCAACCTCATTTATCGATACCGGGGCTGAATTCACTTACCTGCGACGGGGCCGAGTTCACTTATCAATTCCGGGGCCAAATTTATCTACGCCATAGAGCTTCGACTCTGGCTGAGCCGACGTCCGTATCTTACCTCGCCGTAGAGCCTCGACCCCATCTGAGTCGACACCTATATTTCCTCGCCGTAGAGTCTCGACTCCGACTGAGTCGACGTCCAAATTTCCTTGCCGTAGAGCTACGAATCCGGCTGAGTCGACATCTATATTTCCTCGCCGTAGAGTCTCAACTCCGGCTGAGTCGACGTCCAAATTTCCTCGCCATAGAGCTTCGATTCCAGCTGAGTCGACATCTATATTTCCTCGCCATAGAGCCTTGACTCTAGCTGAGTTGACATCTATATTTCCTCTCCATAGAAACTTGACTCCGGCTGAGTCGAAATCTATATTTCCTCACCGTAGAGCCTTGACTTCGGCTGAGTTGACATCCAAATTTCCTCGCTGTAGAGCTTCGACTCCAGCTGAGTCGACATCTACATTTTCTCGTCGTAGAGCCTTGACTCCGGCTGAGTCAACATCTATATTTTCTTGCTGTAGAGCTTCGGCTCCGGCTGAGTCGACATCTATATTTCCTCGCCGTAGAGCCTCAACTCCGGCTAAGTCGACATCTATTTTTCCTCGCCGTAGAGCCTTGACTCCGGCTGAGTCGACATCCAAATTTCGTTGCTGTAGAGCTTCGACTCCGGCTGAGTCGACATCCAAATTTCCTCGCCGTAGAGTTTCGACTCGGGCTGAGGCGACATCTACATTTCCTCGCTGTAGAGTCTCGACTCCGGCTGAGAATATATTTTCTCGCTGTAAGAGTCTCGACTCCGGCTGAGCCGACATTTATATTTCCTCGCCATAGAGTTTCAACTCTGGCTGAGTCGACCTATATATTTTCTCGCCGTAAGAGTCACGACTCCGGCTGAGCCGACATTTATATTACCTCGCCGTAGAGCCTCGACTCCGACTGAGTCGACATTTATATTTCCTCGTTGTAGAATTTCGTGTCGACATCCATATTTTCTCGCCGTAGGGCCTCGACTCTGGCTGAGCCTATGAGCCACAAAAGGCAAAAGAGACCCGATAAGGGTAAAACGACCGGACAACGTGAATTTGTCCGGCATAAAATGCATGAGACCCCATTAGGGTAAAACGACTGGACAACGTAAATTTGTCCGACGTAAAACGAATATGACTTCTTTAAGGTAATAAGTCCGGACAATGTAAATTGGTCCGGCGCAAACGAATAAAACCCCACTAGGGTAAAACGACCGGACAACATAAGTTTGTCTGGCGCAAAGCAAATGAAACCCCATTAGGGTAAAACGACCGGGCAACATAAATTTTCCCGGCGTACAACATACGAGACCCCATTAGGATAAGATGACCGGATCACGTAAATTCGTTCGACGTAAAAAGAATAAGACCTCATTAAGGTAATAAGTCCGGACAATATAAAACTGTCCGGCACAAAACGAATAATCGCCAATAAAGGCAAACGACCGGATAATGTAAATTTATCTGGTGCAAAAGTAAACGAACGCAAAACGGGGTACCGAATTACCTGACCAGGTCATTTAGGCCCCATTCAATAGCAATTACAAAATTGTCCATCCATTCCACTGACTCGCACTTGTCAAAGTGCAGAAGAGCACAACTAACACAAATTTGTCAGGCCAAAGCCTAAAAACAATCGACAAAGCGTACAAGGGTCCCAAAGCACCCAGAAATTTTTTATCAACACGCATCCATTCGTAAACACCGATAAGATAAAAACATGATCTTATGTATCACGCCAACGTCATTTATCATAGCGTAAAGAGCCCCGAGCTCAAAAGACTACAAGCATAAGAACTGTCAGATTATAAATAAACGCGACTTCAGAACAGTTCTGTTCAGAACATGTTCTAAACTCGGAGGCCTCTTGTTGGTACCCAATTTGGCTGCAGTTAATAAATAAATAGAGAGTACGAACAGGTAGTCTACACCGAACAGGGCCACAAATGATGAATAGTAGCTTATACTACATATAATGAATAGTACCTGTAGTACAATTGTACTACACTATAAACTAATTATATATAAAGCCTCAATGATGGAGAGAAAGGGAAGGATTCATTCAAAAAAAAGAAGAAACGTCAAAATTATCTGAGAGGCAATAGTATTTTCTTGTTTTTTGTATTATTTAATTCGTGTATTTTTCTCATAAAAAAGGTATATCTAAAAGTCATGAATAGAACAGGTACTCAACCCATATTTCCAGAACAAATCTATTAGTATAGATTGAACAAAGTTCACAATTTAGTGTACAGTTCACCCCCTGTTGCTGACATTTTTTAGCATCAACAGGTTTGACACATTTTAAGCTGCAATTTTTTTTTCCCGACAAAAAAGCAATAAATATTTATAATTATAGACTAAAAATACCCAGCTTCATTTTGACAATTTCAAGACAGTGAAAATGATAATTTAAATGTTGGACAAATTTTCTACCCATAAAAGACTAAATTTTACAACTGTATATAGGCACAGCCGGTAGACCAACTAGTATACTATATAGCATAACATTAAATTAACTAATGCGTACTAGGTCCCAACAGTATTTCTCTTGATGGAGAGCAATATTCTCTCGATGGAGAGCTTTCTTCCTTCGTAGGTAGGCTTTCCCTCTGGGGAGGATTGTGAAGTGATTTGTGAGTGCAGGGTGGGATTTGGTCTTTTGAAAGGGCTAGGTTGGGGCTTTTTTGGCAGGAATTGATTGGTTTTCTAGATTAGGGTTCCTGGGGTATTTGGGTTATTGGGGGCAGGTGTGGATTTTGTTTTTGGCTGATCTCAAATGGATCCTAACATCAGCGGAGCTTCTAGTTCTGTGGATATAACATAGGAGCTGGGATGCAAGATGAAGAACATTATGCTATCGGAATCTAAATATAAGGTTATCGAGTCTCAAGAGGAAGATACTAGAATCGGAGATGAAGAATGTCAACGCAGTCTGTTTGGCAAGGTGATTAGGGATAAAAGGGCTTCTTTGATCGACATCATGCGTACAATGGGCGCTATTTGGCAAATTCAGCACCCAATGGAGGTAAAAGAACTCAAAACCAATTTCTTTCAATTTATATTTGGTAGTGACGAGGATAAGGAAAAAGTTGAAGTTGGGATTATTGGATTTTTGAAAACCAATACGTTATTCTGGTGGAATGGATGGAGGGGCTTACTGAGAAGCATGAGTGCTTCAAGGAGCTGAAATTATGGGTCCAAGTGAACAACTTATCAATTAATTGGCTTTGCTCGGACGTGGATTTAAGAATAGGCAAAGTTTTTAAGCAAGCCCGAAATGTGTCTATGGTTAAAGCGGGAGGACAAGGGGTAGTTTTTTGAGGTTGTTAGTGTGGTTGATGTTTCATACCCCCTCCCCAGGTTTGCTAATATGAAGCTCCAGAATAAACAGGTACTGGTGAGATTTCAGTATGAGAAACTAGTGAACATGTGTTTCTATTGTGGCATAATTGGTCATCTGGAAAGAACCTGTAAGAAAAGGGAGGATGACATAACCAAGGAAATGTTAAATGAAGGACAATATGGGGAATGGCTTAGAGCGTTGGATGGGAACTTTGGCTCTAAATCAAGCTCCAACTACAACACTCGAAATCAGTCTACAGAAACTCCTACTCACACACCAACTGATAATCAGGATAAAGACAAACATGTGAATGTTCAAAAATCTGTGGGAAGCAGAATTCAGGATCCTATTGTCCAGAAGAATTTATAAAGCCCACCTGAGCAATGTAGGGCTAATCCTGAAGTGGAAGAGCAGGAGGTTGGTAATCCAAATGCCCCGTGGGCTACTCCTCAATCTAAAGCTCTAGTGATTTCTAATGGGGTGGAGGACAATGAGCATTGGCCTCTAGTGCAAATGGAAACTGAAGAAGTCCAACAGATCCAGGAACACCAAGAGATGAACTCAATATTACCAGACTTGCCAGAGACTCAGGTGAAGCTGAAGAAGAGAGGTTGGAAAAGGAGCATTGTTTCTCAGGGGAGATCTAAGACATAGGTAGAATGGGCATGCAAGAAATTCATTTAGTGGGGCATGGGTTTACTTGGGGTAATAACAGAGGGGAGGAAGGGTTCATTGAGGAGAAAATTGATAAGATGTTTGGTTCTTTTGAATGGTTACAATCTAACCCAAATGCAGTGGTGGATAGTGTATACAGGAGTCTTCTGACCACAAGTTACTCATCTTTTATGATAAACCTGAATAGAAGGCTTAAAGGAAAAGCAGTTCTTCTTTGATAAACTTTGGGTAAAGAGGGAAGGGGTGCAAGATGTTAGCAAAACATCTTGGGAGGGATTTCAGGGTGGCACTCCTATGTTTCAGATATCAGAAAGAATCAAAGCCACAAGGCTTGCACTCTTGGCTTGGAGCAGAAACTTCAGAACAGAACAGGTTAAGGAGAAAAATAACATTACTGCTTAATTAGAAAGTATGAGTACATCAGGGGCCCAGAGGGATTGTGATATGTGGTACAGACTGAAGAAGGAGTTGGATAAGATCACTTAGAAGGAGGAAGAGTTTTGGAGGCAGAAGGCAAGAGTTCAGTGGCTCAAAGAGGGTGACTCTAACACCAAATTTTTTCATGCCTTAACTATGCAAAGGAGGAAACAAGATGCTATATACAGATTAACAGATAAGAGGGGTCATGTGTGGACTAAGGCAGAGGACTTGAGTGATCACATCAGTGATTATTTTGGGAAGCCCTTCATTGCACAAGGGTCTAGGGGGGATGAGGACATTCTCCATCTGATTCCCTCTGTTAGTGTTATATACTGAAAGCTTGACTTTGCATGTTATTATACGTTTGTCCTTTATGAATGAGAATCGTGTTAGATTAAACAAGTTCTACGTTCTGTTGTTCTGCACTTAGATAGGGTGGGTCGTCATCGGGCGAATCGAAGATCACTCTATCAGTTACTTGCGAACAAGAATAGTTGTTAACAACCTAGATGGCCATGAACACCCCATCTGAACGGTTGTAGTGTCAACTGTACAGTTAGCCTTGACTGATTAGTTGCACTAGTACATTTATGTATTGAATAAGATCCCAGAGAGGAGAAGTTCATTTATACTGATCGTCGTAAATGAACTAGGCCTCGGTTAATTACTGCGTTCTCTTAACCCGTAAGATATTAAACAGGCAGATATATATAATATATATTACTTTGATTCACATGGGTGAAGTTCAGTTCGCTGGATTAATATTCCTACTGTTTTGGGTAATATTATTATATATAGGATGTGCTGTTAGGATATTTACGGTCACCATGTGCGTTAGTTTGATGATGTCCCCGGAGTGAGTTCATGAAGGATTGTTATGCTAAACCCTGCAGGTGGATTAAATTCCGGCATAATAAGAATGTGATGAACGAGCGCTAGCTTCGGTGAAATAATAATAAATTAATTAATTCTTGATTGTCAGTAATCGAATTAATTAATGGACATTATATCTTAAACGTGGGGAGGTAAATCGAGTAATTATTATTGGAGTCTCAAATGTAATTTGGGCTAGGTAAAAATTCGAACACCGAAACAGCAATTTACAAGCTCGACAACTTGGCAATTAAATCACGACATAAGATTTCTCGTCCGAGGCCTTTTCATAAGACCAAGGACTCGACATTGTTCCAATATCCACCGACTTACACGACTTTCGAGGTCTCGTTCGATTCTTGAGAAAATCGAAGAGGTCCCAAACACATATACGGCACATAAAATCATAACTCTTACACAAAATCACAACGATCACACTAACGCACAATATTCACGTCTCGCAAATCACACATATACGAAAAATAACATAAACGATTAAACGAGACGAAATCGACTAGGTACCGTTCTCGGAAAAGAGCTCAGAAAACGGCACGAAAAAGACGAGGCGAACTCGCGGCTCAAGCTCGACGGCAAGCGTCGTCTCACGAGGGAAGGGCTGTTCGTTGCTTGGATGCTGCTGCAACGTCGATGAAGTTGCTGCTCATCGAGGTTGAACTCGCCGGAAATTGCTGTGCGATGGAAGGTGAACTCGACTCGACGGAGCTTGTTGGTCGCTGCGGCGGTTCACGGCTGAGGAGTTCGCGGCTGGTTCTCGGTGGTGCTGAACAGAGGTCGAGGGGCGCTGCGCGATCAGAAAAGGGAGCTCACAGTGTGGCGGGAGAGGCTGGAGTGGCGTCGCGGCGCGGTGGAGCTGCTGTGGCGGCGTCGCGGCGCGGAGGAGACTCTGGTCACGGCGCGGTGGACGAGCAGGTTGCCGGACTGAAGGAATTTCGACGTTGGGCCTGCGGAGGAAGGCACAGAGGGTCAAACCCGCCGGAAAATCACAAAGACGAGGTTGCCGGCGATCGCTGCGCGCGGGTTCCGCCGGCGATGATGGTGGCGGCGGGAGATGGTGAGATCGGCGAGAGGATGGTGATGATTGAAGAAAGAAAATCGCGAGGACGATGGAGGAGAGATGATGATCGACGATGACGAAAGAAAACTCACAGAGAGAAAGAAAAAGGAACAAATCGCGATCGGGCGTGAGAGATTAAGCGAGGGGAAAGGGATAGAGACAGCGGCGTGTTGTGTTTGAAGGAGAGAATTGTGTCGATCAGATAAAAAAAAGAAAAATAGAAATAGACTAGGGTTTAGAATTCTTATTGCCCAAGACAAGGACCCACACGTGAAAAACAAAAGGGGGAGAAAATCTGTCGGGCCGGGCCCGAAAAGTTGGGCCAGATGGATTTTTGGGCCGGTTGGGTCATCAAATCGGCTCACGGGCCCGATTACAATTCAAACGGATATTCTCGGGCCCAATTTCGGTTCCAACGAAAATTCTCGGGCTCGATTTCGAATGCAAACGCGCGATAAAATAAACCGAACAATATACATATATGTATTTCCATATTTTTAAATACACATTAGTAATTAAATATATCATAAAATCAATTAGACAATTACACATTTAGCATTTAATCACATTTGACAATTAATAAATATTTTGGCACTCAATATTAATATTAATAACATCACAATAATAATAAACATCAATGATAATAATAATAATAATAATAATAATAATAATAATAATAATAATAATAATAATAACAATAATAATAATAATAATAACAATACTTCAAATAAACCACAAATAAATGGGGCATTACAAGAACTAACCGGAGGTCCGATTGAGACGCACAGCATACCCAGACGACCATCTCGAAGAGAGCTTTCCATCGCCGCCGATATCGCCGCCATAGTACGCCGCACGCGCCGCCAGAAGCTCCTAGGCTGCAAGTTTTGTTTTGATCTGTTTGCATTCATTTGATTCGATTTTGATCTGATCTTGTTCGTGCAACCCAAGGCGTGATTTGCGGTCAATCAACTGCGGTCAACCGTTCGTGGTCAACCAGATCTACATAAATTTTAAGTCGTAAGTTCTCTACGTCAAACCTTGAGATCCGCTGCGCATAGGTTTACGTTTGCTATTGAACTCGTGACTTGTACATAACGAGATCCTCACAGATCCCAACACCCTCCACTATTTCTAATGAATTGAATGCAGAGCTAGTTGCCCCAGTGTCAGAGAAGGAGACTAAAAATGCCCTTTTCATGAGCATGGATCCTGGGAAATCACCTGGACTTGATGGTATGAATCCTTGTTTTTTTCAAAGTTTCTGGAATATTATAAAGCATGAATTCTATACTGCTGTTTTGAGTTTCTTTGAGTCTGAAAAACTGCTTAAAAATTGGAATCATACACTGGCACTTTAATTCCTAAATGTTGTAACCTTGCAACCTTGAAGCAATTCAGACCTACAGCTTGTGTGGAGGTAGCATACAAAGTGATTTAAAAAATTATGACATCTAGATTGAAGAATTCTCTTAATAGTTGTATTGTGAATATCATGGATAATGTGATTATTGCTCATGAGGCTGTGCATTTTTTTTAAATAGACTGAGATCTGGGAGGAAGAGTGTTATGATGATTAAGCTGGATATGGAGAAAGCATATGATAGGGTGGAGTGGGAATGTGTGAAAAAAGTCCTTAGTCAGATGGGTTTTCATAGTACTTTTATTAAATGGGTCTGGGCTTATATCACTAATACCTGTTTCTCGTTCAACTTGAATGTGGGTGTGTCTGGTTTTGTGACAGCTTCTAGGGCTATTAGACAAGGGGACCCCTTGTCCCCTTATCTATTTATTCTTATCTCTGAAATTTTTACCAGACTGATTAATGCTGAGATGGATAGGGGAAGATTTCATGGGCTGAAAATGGAAAGAAATCGTCCTGATGTTTCTCAGTTACTTTTTGCATATGACACTTTTGATTCTTTGTGAGGCCTCAGTTGAGCATGCCAGCATTCTACTCAGTATTCTTGACAAATATCAGAGGTTTATTGGTTAGAGGGTCAATATGGGAAAATCTTCTGTCTTCTTTAGTAGAAATATTAAAGCTCAGCAAGGGGAATATCTGTAATATATTAAGGGGGATTCAGGAACAGAGATCAACTAAGTACTTGGGACTACCCCTTGGCATTGGGAGATCAAAGAAGGAGTCTTTTGATTTTGTGGTTAAGGCTGTGAGAACAAAGTTGATCAGTTGGAAGAACAATCTGTTGAATGGAGCTGGGAAGGAGGTGTTGATTAAAGTTGTTATTGGTGCTCTCCCAGTTTTTTCTATGTCATGTTTTTGTCTGGCCCAAAGTACTTGCAGGGATCTTGATAGCATGTCTGCCAAGTTCTGGTGCAGCAAAGGGAAACAACAACATGTGATGCATTGGAAGAAATGGAGCACTTTGAATGTCCCTAAATCTAGAGGAGGTGTGGGTTTTAAGTATATCAACCTGTTTAATGAAGCTCTTTTTGTGAAACAGGTGTGGAGGATGGTGTCTCAACCAGATTTGCTTGTGGCAAATGTTTTGAAAGGGAGATATTATGCAGACAGCTCATTGTTGCAGGCTAAGAAGTCTTCTAATGCTTCTTAGCTGTGGAGCAATTGACTAATGATTAAAGACAAATTCAAACAACATATTTTGGTGGAGATCAGAAATGGGAAGGAGACAAATATTTGGCAAGACCCATGGATTCCTAATGTAGATCTTCGGTGTAGGGATGACGGTAGAATGGCAGGTAGTCAGTTCCAATGGGTTGAAGAGTTGCTGCTTGATGGGGTAAGAAGATGGAACAAAGAGTTGGTGGAAGAATTATTTCCAAGGGATATGAAGATCAAGACATTAGACCCCCTCAGGGCTGACAAATGGATTTGGAAGATTGACAACAAATGTAAGTTCTCTGTGGCCAGTTGGTACCATTATCTTGTAGAAAACAAGTTGAGACTGATGGATATTGCTGAATGGAGTAGCTCTGGGGAAATCGATAAGAAAGTGAGATTAAAGAGTTGGAGGTTGAAAATGAAGAACAAGATCAAGCACTTCCTTTGGAAGTGTTATTCAAATGTGCTTCAAGTGAGTTGTAATTTGAGGAAAAGGGGTATGCTTGTGGATCAGATTTATCACTGTTGTGGGGAGGGAGAAGAGACAATTGAGCATCTTCTCTTTCACTGTAGCAGAACACAGACAGTATGGTGTTTAGCACAGGTGAGCTGGGATGAAGTACCTTCAGAATCCATATCTTTTAAATTTGGTGGTGGAAATTGTGTGCAGTAGGGAAGAAGGAAATTTCAGAGAACATGATGGAACTAACCACCTATATCCTATGGTGGTTATGGAAATCTCGTAACCTTTGGAAATTTCAAAATGTTTGGATGCCAGAAAGGATGGTGGTGAGTGCAGCTCATGGAGATTGGCTGGAATTTGTTCAATGCAGAAGAACAGAAGCTGGATAATTTGAAGAGAAATGCTTGCTAGGTCCTATTGATTCAGTGGTGGCATGTTTTCTTGTGTTTCAGTGTTTGCTTAATGGCTTGTGTTCTGTATTTTTATGTCATTGTTCTTAGTTGTGCTAAAGGATCCAGTTCATGTAATTGCCTTTAGTTTGAGTTGTCTCTAGTTGTTGTTTGTTTGGTGTCTAGAGCCTATGTGTAGAGGCTTCTCCTTGTTGATTGTCTCTGTTGTATTGAACTTGAGCTTCATGCTCTCAATTTGTGTTTGAGTTTAATATATAGCATCTATCGCTTAAAAAAAAAAANAAAAGCAATGAAAGAAACAAAAAAAATTAAAAGACAACAAAACCTAATAATGATCAATTTTAGAAAATGGAGCCGATGTGAATTCAAGAAAAGGAAAGGCAAAAAGGTGCTTTATAGCGCATCCTGTTTATCCACTTTGCTTTCTTAAGGCCACAACCAAAAGAGACATAAAACAAAATAAATGGACAAAAAAATAGATTATTTCATAATAATAAAAAAGAATACATGGACGACCTCAACTAGCTTTATTTTTTCTGAAATATTATTTTATTATTTCAGGGATTGGAGATCTTTTTAGTGTCGTTTATATTAAATTTTAAGTGAACATTAAACCAATTTTTTTTTTTTAAACTAGAAATATATTTATGGCCGAAAAAAAAATACAAAAATGAGGTTAAAGGCACTTTTTATTTTAAAAAAAGTCCATTATAACTTCATGGTTGGGTGAGTTGCATTGTAGCTGGTTGGCTATGCCTGTAAGACTTTTATTTGATTGAGGTTTATTGGAAATTATCGTTTGGAAAAAAAAAAAAACTTCATGTAGAAAATTAAATCGACAATTGACCTAATTTATATGTTTCTATAAATATGGAGTGTTTTCCACTTCCTCTTGGCCACTCTTAACGTACAGACAAAACACTTGCAGGGTCCCATTTTGTGAGGATTCAAGGGGCCATTTTATAGTAGAGTAAAAAAATTAATCAAAACTTAAATTTAATTTAATTTTTTATTTAATTTTACTATTTTTAATATTATCAATATAATTAAATAATATCAGCCAATTATTTTTACAAATCACATTAATTTTAATTCACTATACATCTACTCATATAATTTTAACTAACTATCACTTCAATTATTTTTTTTTATTTTTAGGTCAAATCAATTTTAATTATTTTATTTTAAATATTATTTTAATATATCCACTATTAACTAATCATATCAAAATTTAACTATAATTAAAAAATAATTAATTTTTTTTCTAGTTGAATTCATATCTAATCACCTAGATCGTTACGCCAAAGTTCATATTCTTCTATATTTCTGTTTTCTATTAAATTCAATTAAAAAAACATTTTCTGGAGGAAGAAGGGCAAAGAAAATAGAAGAAATGGGAAATTCAATTGGGTGCTCAGCTTCAGGTGAAAGATTGGTGTCAGCGGCAAGAGATGGAGATTTTACGGAGGCTAAAATGCTTTTGGATTGCAATCCATGCCTTGCTAAATATTCTACTTTTGGCGGCTTAAATTCTCCTCTACAATTTGCCGCCTCTAAAGGCCACAACGAGGTTCAACAATCCACTATGTTTGAATCTTTACATTCCTCAGATTTTTATTTTATTGAAAAAGAGAGAAAAACCCTTTTCATATATTGATGCGGATTTTTTCTTTTCTTTTCCTTATGTTGTGCTGATTGTGGATATTTGATATTTTGCTTTCTTTTGTTGAAGATTGTGACCTTGTTGTTGGAAAATGGAGCCGATGTGAATTCAAGAAATTATTCTGGTCAGGTATAATGAATTTTCCACTTTGATCGATGTTATTTTCAATTTTTTTTTATTTGTTTTTAGATTGAAGTGTAGATTATTCTTATTTCTATAGACATTATGATCATATTTATGTAATATGGTGTTGGGTTATTCATTAACGCATCTTTTTTTCACTGTGATTGTCTCTGAGATTTTTTTTTTTATTTTAAAAAAAAAATGATCAGATTGTTCTTGTTCTGTTTAAACAGACAGCATTGATGCAAGCGTGTCGATATGGGCACTGGGAAGTTGTTCAAACTCTTCTTCTCCACAGGTGCAATGTGAGTTCTCACTTAAAAAAAATTGTAACTGATTTCATCTTCTTCTGATTTTGGGCAACATCTGCTGCATCTTTTACTGAATTTCTGCAAGAAGTGTTTACAAATAATAGTGAATCAGAAGCTTGTAGGTTTGGTGAGAAAAGAGAACCTTTGGTGAATAAGTTGCACACGTGCTTTATTTGCTTGTATATGGAAATATCCTAACTTCATTCACAAATGTATCTCCCCCATTTAGATTATATGTGAACTTAGTGTTTGGAAATACTGCATAATTTTATTTACTTTTTTACTTATGTTTCTGCTTTCACGCTCCGCCAAAATTGACAATTACCTTTTTTCGATTGTTTCGAGACTCTCCCTTAATATCGTTTGCTGTTTAATTTTTAGGTCAGTCGAGCAGACTATCTTAATGGAAGGACAGCTCTTCATTTTGCTTCGGTTAACGGACACATCCGCTGTATTCGATTAGTGATTGCCGATTTTGTTCCAAGTGCTCCATTTGAATCACTGAGTGCTCAAACAATTAGTGGCAGAAGTGATTGTCCAAATAAGAATAAAACAAAGTAAACCTAAAGTTTGTCTTTCTTAACCATATATTTTGATCCAGTTTAGTAGGAGACAGCTGAATTTATTAATTTCTGAATCCAAATTGATCGTCCTTTTTTTAACCAAATAGGATAGGATAGTTTAAAAGATGGTGAAAAGCATAAACTTATTCAGGTTATTTGTATAACATATCTNNNAGTGCCCTCTACAAGTTTGTAAACAAAGTTGCGGATGGTGGAATTACGGCTCTTCATATGGCAGCATTGAATGGCCATTTCGATTGTGTTCAGCTTCTGCTTGATCTTCATGCAAATGTCTCGGTCACCACTTTCAATTATGGAACGTCGATGGATTTTATTGGTGTGTTCCTTCATTCTTAATAAGATTTCTCTTCAAGAAACCACTTCTGTTCAAGGTCAATAATAAGTTAACTTATAAACAATCACAATCCTATTTTTCAAAATAGCTTTTTCGTAGGTTTCTTATAAATAGCCAAAACGGCAGCAGGATTTTGAAATTATCGTAAAAATTAATATTGAAGAATTGGATTTTATATTTTTCCTTATGATTTTCTTTGTGTATTTAATCCTGCAAAACCTTAGTAAACTTTTTGTAATTTACTCCATAGTTTATCAGCTTAAACATTAATATTGTTTTAGGATCTGGGAGTACTCCTTTACATTATGCAGCGTGTGGTGGGAACTTGAAGTGCTGCCAGGTGATTATTGCTAGTTCAAAATTTAATTTTAAATTCTTCCTTACTAATTAACAAGAAACTAATTTATAATGTCCACAATTTCTCCCTTGTCTGCAGATCCTTCTTGCAAGAGGTGCCAGTCGTTTATCTCTAAACTGCAATGGGTAAATAGCACAATTCACATTTACATATTCTAATACCGTCTGATTATATGAATCTTTAGATGGCTTATGCTCTGTTTTCAGATGGCTTCCTGTAGATATCGCGAGAATGTGGGGCCGTCGTTGGTTAGAGCCTTTGTTGGCGCCTAATTCTGTATTGCCAACCCCAATATTTCCACCTTCGAATTATTTATCATTGCCACTTCTAAGTGTGCTTAATATAGCTAGGTAAGAAAGTCGCTAGAAAATTTGATATTGTTTTACTGCATTTGATGTATCTTCAGTTATTTGGATAAATCACAAAAAAATTCCTACTGTGAATAGACTCTTGTTTTAATTTAGTGCTATATGTACATACACCCTTAAAGTATTAAAAAAAAAAAAAAAAAAACCCTCTTGAGGTTTGCATGCAGCAATTTGTAAATAGAAACATTTAATGTCCTGTATTATTTGTAAATTGTAGTTTCTGATAGTGGCATAAAAAATTCCGGCTTATTTCTGCAGAGAATCGGGGTTGAAGTTATCAGCTTATCCTTCAGAAGATGCCGATATCTGTGCAGTTTGCCTAGAGAGAGCTTGTAGTGTGGCAGCTGAAGGTATTTCTGTCTCTTTATCTTGAGATATTGTTTTATCTTATACTTCCAAGTATAATTCTCTTTCACATTGTTTGTTTTGGTTGCTTGTATTCCAATTTCGACATTCTTGTTGGTTCCTGGCGTGTTATGTCATATTTCAAATTTCCAAAACATATATTCCTTGTGTATGATCATGGAGATTCAATTGATATATTATGCTGAGTATTACTTATGCTACCACGTGATTTGAACAAATTACTGAAAGGCTCCAATCATTTTCAAAAGTATTACCAATATCCCCTTGATGCCTGCATTTTCTTAACAAATACCACCTTTGTTTCGTTTAAGCTGTCATTTTTAGATTTCCTTTTCTAAAAATTAGGAACTTAAAATTCGACCAAGACATCCCTTATCAATTAACAATATTCATAATTAATCTTTCTCCCCTTTTTCTCTTTCATTTGTATCCTAAGACCATAATTTTGTTTTGATTCTTAAAAAGAAGTATGGATAAAAGTTGCAAAATAACGGATTAAAGAATCTCAAACATTTAATTTAAGCACCTAAAACCACACTCAGCAAAAAAAAAAAAAATGGAGAAATTTTCCCCTGATTGGATGCAATTTGTTGAGTAGACAAATAATAGATGTATTTATAGTCTCTTATCTTTCCACTTTTCATGGTAATGTCATCTTTCAGGTTGTGGACATGAACTATGCGTTAGATGTGCTCTCTACCTTTGCTGTAGCGTCAATAACGTCAATTCAGAAGCACTAACGCCAGCTGGCTCAATCCCCTGTCCTCTCTGTAGACATGCCATTGTTTATTTTACAAAATCCCCAATAAATGGCACCAAATCGCAGATTAGTCCCAACTCGGTTTCTTCAGAAGTCTTTTGTCCGGTCTCTTGCAGTCCTTTTATTCATGAATGTGATGAAGCTCATTGTCTGGAACGTGAAAATATGGACGAAATGAGAATGGGGAAAACCACGTGTTCGAATGTGTTTTGGAAAAGACAAAAAGATACCAGTAAGTTTTTAGTCTAAATGTGAGAAGGGAAAGAAAAAAGAAGTGAATCAGAAGGAAAGGAATGGAGATTTTTGTCACTCTCATTTGAGGGGCATTTATAATGTCAGAAAGATGAGTGGAGTTATTCTTTAGTTAAGATGAGTGAGCCTGAAGGGGTGGCCTTCAAAGGTTCCCTGAACTTTTCATTTGAGGGGCATTTATAATGACAAACACAGTTAGTTATGGCTGTGGTGATCTCCATTAATAAAATATATTCTGATATGTGTATTTCTGGCTTGTGGAATCTAGATTCCTGGACCTTTTTATTTAATTTCATTTCTCGAGTTAAATTACAAGTGTGCATAATAGGAAACTTAAGCGAGACAATAGGATATCATCACTTTTATTTTCTTATCAAGTTTGATTAGATTTATTTCATTGATTTATTTATGTCATTTAAAATTTAAGTTACATAATTTTTTTTTTTCTCTAAATTCTCATCCATTTCACCTAATATTTTTCTCTATAATATCTAATAAAAATATTGTTTATCCACTCACATATTTCTAACCGAGCATCAATATCAATCATTTCATTTTATCTAATACATATATTCACAATAACAATATTAAATATATATATATATTCACAATAACAAATGAGGGTCAAAGAAATCTATCTTCCCCCAATGTGTGTTTCCTAATTTTCAAATACAATGGTTTGTATGTGTTTCAAAGTTTGTATGTGTTCCAAATATGATTGACTTAACACTATGAGTTTTATTTTAACACTACTAGTTTTGATGTTGTAGGTAAAAATATTACCTCCAAACAACATCTAGTACTTTGAGAAATATTGTCCAGGAAATGAACAATTTAATTAATGAAAGCTAGAAGCTAAGCACTAAGCTCAGAGGTTGAAAATAAGTTGACATGGAGAAATATTTGACTCAACGTTGGTGAAATTCTCTCCGGAAAGTCAAGTGCCCGACGAGTTTGAGCCGAGAACTCAGCAGCAAGTCGAATGAGGTAGAGTCGAGCCCTAGCATGAGCGCACAACATAGCCTGAGAGATTAACTTGCAGCGAGACACAAACATTTTATGCCATATCTTTTTGCATAGTAGTACAAAAACATTTTTTCCTTCACGTTTTAAAATAAATTTTTTCGCACAATTCATAAATAAAATTGAAATATATATAGAGCAACACTAGAGCTAGTGGAGTTGCTCAAGTGCACTCATGCCAGAAACACCTGTCATCAAAGAGATGCGACAGAGATTATCAAATTTTGAACCCAAGGCAGTACGCTATACATTTTGCAATTATTTAAATAAAAATAAAAATGGTACATGCCTAAAGAGCGGTAGGCCCCATCCAAGGAAAGTTTCAGAAACTTCCTGAGGTGGTCCACAACACTTGTTAGTTATCCAGAACACTCCAATTTCTCTCGCACGCGCGACAATCCAGATTTAATATCTCACGTGTCATCCGACGTCTCAGATTTTATATCCCCTCCCGGCGGCTGCAGCCGTAGATCCATCCCATCCGCCGCCGCCGCCGCCGCCGCCCAATTTCTATCCGCCGCTGCTATTCCTTTGCAGAATCTCATCACCGGCAGTAAATCGAGATGCTCCGCCGCCCTGCCGCTGCCGCCGCCGTGGTTGTTGAAGTTGGACATGAGAACGTAGATGTTGCTGCAGAGGCTCTTTATGTGCCTCAGCTCATTGTTCAGCTGCACGTTCTCCATTTTCAGCCTCTTGTTCTCTCCTATTAGCGGAGATACGCCGGATTCGGAAGGAAAAGCCACCCTCGGCGGCGGCGGCGGAGGAGCTATTTTACGGCGGTGAATGTCGCGGAGGAGCTTCCTCTCGCCTCGTCTGAAGTATTCGTTGAAAAATTCCCATCGATCGGGCATAACTTTCCTAAATCCCTAGAAAAAAAAAAAAAAATCGACGAATCATCAAATTAGAAGTGGAAACGACACCGTCTTGTTTTGGGGCTATTTGAAGCTTACGTATGTGTTGAGCTGGCGAATAAAACTGGAAAAATTGTTGTGCTTGAAATATTTGGGGAGCATTTCCCGGGCGAACTCCGCCGTGTCCCAGACGATGAAAGTGGATCCATCGGCGTTCCAGGAGATGACGTCATCGATCTCCCGATCGTCCACCAGCTGGTACGTCTTTGTCAGGAACGGCGTCGGGGAGCCGCCGGCCGGCGATTCACTGCCGGGCCTAAGGTTTACCGACGGCAGAGCCATAACAGGTACTCGATCTCCTCACTTGGAGAGAAGAAAAAAAGAACACACAATAGCCGAGTAAAAAAGAGTGTATATAAGTATTATTTAAAAGAGTTAAGAGAATGTAACGTATTTAATTAATTATGCTTGCTTACAGGTTTAATTAATGTTAGACGGTTGAAACGCGAACGGAGTAGTAGAAATTCCGGATCATGAGTAATGCACTTTTTTTTTTCAGTGAGATAAGAGAGTGGAAAAAGAAAAAGAAGTCTCAAGTTTCTAAAAGGGGAAAACAGCTCACTGTGGTGTGTGAGGAAGATTCCAGCAAGTGCTGCACATATTTTGCCAACGCGTGTTCCTCTGTTACATACTTNATTAAAATTGCATGTGATAAATTATGAAAACTTGTGGTTGGCGTTTGTTTATCCCGATAATTTATTTTGTAACCATAGTCACATAGTTTAAACAAATAATTTGGTGTTAATAAAAATTATTTATAATTAAGGCGTAAGACAACCTAATTATCTTTATCATGCGAGACTCTTGATGTACATTAATTTATCTTAATTGATTGGTGGAGAGATGACTAACTTATATAGCTATAAATTTAAATCTTTTACGTATATTAAATATCTTAATTAATGGTTTAGATATGTTTAACTATTAAATAAAGTTTTAGTCCAATAGAATTATTAATTGTGGTCAAATGTGTTTGTGTTACATAATCTTAGTTTCTCTAACTTTGTGCGAAAGCTTATAAGTTAATAATATAATGTTAGTGCGCATAAATAATTTTCATTATGCTATAAAATATGACATGATAAACAATAGTGAGATTTCTTGCACACAAAATGCGTCAATTTGGATTAATCCCACTAAATGACATATCCCAAAATACGCAGATTTGGATTAATCATACTAAACATCGATGACGTGGGTGATAGGAGATATCTCATAACCCCATAGTACAACAAGGGGATAAGTACACATCGACTATGACAAAGACGCTTATTTCATCATTTGCGTCGATCTTACACCAGGCCGTAGGTGCATCTGACAAACATCACCATAACATAGAAAGGTTACCTCCACATCAAGCGAATAGAGCTTCTTCCATGCCGATCTCAACTAACGGGGGTGTATTTAATTAGAATTTTTAAGGACTTTTTAAAACTTTAGAAATCTTGGTGTATTCAATTTAGATTTGTTAAGATTTTTTAAAACTTTTAAAAATCCTGGGGTATTCAATTGGGATTTTTAAAAGTCTTACAAAATCCTGAGGTATTTAATTTTTTTGACACTAGGATTTATTAAGACTTTTTAAGATTTTGTGGGATTTCTAAACAAAAAACCTTATATGAAATCCCACTTCAAATCCTACCTCCGGACTTGAGATTTCATAGAATTTTTCCAAAATCTGAAAATCCTAGAAAGTCTCAAATCTCAAAAAGTCTTAAAATGTCACTGAAATTCCGAATTGAATACACCCCCCTAAATACTGGTGTGAAGAGGTTTACCGTCGAGAATCGGTTCGCATCGCCAAACGAGATAAGTTATTTGAGCAAGATGAGGAAGTTATAGGGGCACGCGTCGCTTTGCATGTAGCTGATCTATTGAAAACTGCCACTTGTCCAAGATTAAATAACATATTTTAATAGACCATCCCCTTCTATTAATAGCAGACCCTCGGTAAAGGCAAAGAGCATCGAATACTTGGGCATCAAATTCAATACACATCATAAATACTAGTAGTTCTCGCTATTTTTCTAGTTCCAATGGCCTTCAGTAGACACTTGTAATAAAGAGGTCTTGGAGTGGCCCAAATCCGTTAATAGAATCCCCGGTGCACGCGTGACAAACAACACCTAATCCGTCAAGTGTCTTGTTGTCCCTATTTCCTTTATCTTCTTTATTTCCACTTTCATTTACTTCAAAAAAATGAATCATACCCACTTTATAGTATTGGAGTATAATGTAGAAGCTCGACTTTGTGATTACTCTCAATTCCATTTTGAATGAGATGTGTGTCTTTTAGTCAAGTTAATGTTCGTAGTTTATTTATTTATGCGAACATATTCCTTTATTTTACATTGTACATAATGTGGTTCGATGTGTCGAATAGAAAGATCACGTTATCCTTGTGCCTTGTAAAATTAAAATATTTGTTCACGGCCCATACATAATTGAACTAACTGTCAAGAAAGATTGTAGTGTGATTTTTGAATTAGTTGATCTTTGACTAATGAATTACATTAGTACATCTCGCATGTATTGAACGGACCTACAGGAGGATAAGATTATTTTATATTCACCAAGTAAATAATCTAGACCTCAGTAATTGTTGCTTTCTCTTAACCCGTAAGGCAATAAACATGCATATGTATTCAATACTTACTTATTTGATTTACCAAGAGTAATACCAATTCTGTTAGGTTGACATACTCGGTATTTTGGTAAGTTATGTAGTGTGCCGTTAAGATTGTTTACGGTCACTGTGTCTCGATCCGCCAGGTTGATGACGTCCCCGAAATGAGCTCAAGAAGGATTATTATGTTAAACCCGACCGGTGAATTAATTTTTAATATAATAATAAAGAATTGAGTGGTACTATTTTCTCTTCAAGAAGTTGATTAATTATATTATCAGTGATTAAATTAATCAACTGACGTTATATCTTAAACATATGGAGTTAAATCGAGAAATTAGTCGGGAGACGATTAATTATAATTCGATGCTAAATGAAGAGTGCAATAATATTACTCTAGTGGAATGTTATGTTATTTATTCAAACACGGAATAGGTGTAGACATAAGGTCTTCTATATGTTAACAAGATGAAAAACATAAAGTCTTCTAGATGTTAACAAGTTGAAAGACATAAGGTCTTCTATTCCTATTTAGAAAACCTATATTTAGCACATCCTTAGGGTCCTTGTTCTTGCCTATAAACACACTAAGTCCTCAAGCCTCCATCACAACTACTTCTACACGCATAAAATCAGAATTCCACATGTCCAAACACAATGATTCTCATGCCCAAAATAACGTGTAGAAGAGAGTTCTTCACTTTGGGAAATTGGGATAAAATCGAGAGGTCTTAGGAGAAGAAATTCGAGAGGCTTTGGGAGTTCCATTTAGTCGCTCTACCAAGACGATTTGGAGAATGTGTAAAAATCATACAATAGAAGATCTCGAAGTTTTTCGCATCCCGACGAATATATATATATATAGAGAGAGAGAGAGAGAGAGAGAGAGAGAGAGAGTGAGAGACGCATCCGGTCGAATATATACAGCCCCCCAACACCTCGGATGGCCACGAAAATTGGAGAGCACGACCAATGGAAGAAGGAGAATCCATCAGTGTGCCCACGACCACCAGCCACAGTCGTACGCGTCGGTGCTGGAGCCCCAAGCATCTCTACGCGCCGCCCAAGCACAACCCGCGCACGACCCACAGACAGACCGTGCACATCCCACACATACCCGTGCAGACAACCAGCGACCTACATTCTTCGTGTGCGACCCGCTTTGCCCAGCGCGACCCAACAGCGTGCTCCGCGTATTCCTCACAACCTACAGCGCCCATGCTGTAATATCCCATTCAGTAATTCATAAAAATAATTATTTCAGTTCTAAGTTAGAACTATTTTACTAATAATGATCTTTTATATTTCCAAGCCTTAATAAATCTCTTAGAATTTTATTTTTCAGTTGGCTCGACATTAAAGTTAAATCAGAATCGTTTTTCATTAAATTGAGTTAGTCGAGTAAATGTTATAAATTGCCTAAGTATTTTATGTGACTTATATGATTTGATAAGTTATAAGGATTAAGTAGAAGTTATTTAGACAAGAAGGTCTATT